CCGATCACAATTCGCTTGAGCTACATTTATTGTTGTTTGATGATAACACGCAAGGTGGCGTGTTATTAATGTCAGTCAACGACCTGCTTGCTGATGCCCCCCTCCCAGCGTATCTCGGCCGAATGCCGACGTGGTTCCGCCAGAGGCGGTGAAGCTCGCCCTAGAACGGATACATTATTTGACCATTAATGCTCTTTCAGTTGCTGCCACGTAAAAGTTGGTATTGCATATAAATAAAGAAATATCACCCCGTAATCCATGACCAGGCGAAGTTACATTGAAATCACATTGCGTTCAGACGCAAATCGCGATGCGGGAAAACCGATTAGAAACCACCTCTAGAAGTGGTTTGGGATCGAGGCGCTTTCAATGTGATTTGGAGCGTTCAGATGGAGCCACTTGAAACCGGCTTCGGGGTAAACCACATGCAAACCGCCTTGGGTGACTTCACATAAACACGGCCTTAGACTACACAGGTGAACGTGAGTACAGAGCTTCGGTTAGGGACGTCCCTCGGATAGGACGTAAAAAGGTCCCCTTGCTTGGGGAGAGCCACACTCCATGCACGTTTAAGTTAACTTAAAAGAACCCACCACACCTTTTGAAAAAAGGACATGCCCCGTTGTGAGTGGTTCAACTTTTAGTCCAATGGCCGCAGGTGGGACAATTGTCGTAATGAGGTCACCCGAGTGGCGCCGAATGGCAGCAGCAGCAGACCCTTGCGATCCCATAGGGAGGGGGGGGGGGGGTACGGGGGTCGGGCCTGCCCGATAACACCCCCTCAGTGCTGTATGACAGTGTCCTGTCATTGATGTTCCATATTAAGATCAAACGTGTCCTGTGTACAGTGGGTTATCCGCGACTCAATTTTGTGCCTATCAATAAGACTTGTTTGTCTGCCTGCATATGTATGTGTTTAGATTAGAACCAAAAACACCTAAGTACAAAAAGTCATGTTTTAGAATGAATAACGTTTTGGAATACAACATGCATTCCGCTTCGTGTTATTTTAAGACATGTTTTGATTGGATCACGTTTTGAAATACGTTTCTTATCAATTGTTCAAATGATGCAATAAAATGATCAATGATTGATATCTATTGATTTTTTCTCTTTTTCATCAGTTGTAGAAGTTACGTGTTTGAAAGTCTTATCATGGAATGGAGTTATCAACTTGCCTCATTTATGATGCAAATTAGTCATGATTTGCATAATTAGCACCTTATTGTGCCAATTATCACTTAAACTGTCTACACACTAAATCAATCCGAAAGCATCAAGTGATCCGAAAACGTAACCTTTTTGGTGAAAGTAATACTGGACCAACATCCTTCGGAGCCTTCCTCTGACAGGTGCATTTCCTCCGCAGTACTGTCTGCTCACAGCGAGGTGTTCGTTGACAAGGGAGGCTTCATCATGTATTACCTGCGGGTTCCAGAAAACAACCCCACACAGGCAGTTCCGCTGCTGCAGGGGGGCAGAAGAGCAACTCAAACTCAGCTTCCGTCACTGCAACAAGGACGGAGGACTTCTCCTCTACCAGGAAGGCAGCGGCAACAACTACTTTGCCATCGGCGTGTACAACAATGGGATCTATATGGAGATGAACTGGAATAATACGCTTGTAGAGGTAAATAAGCACTCGTCGTTATTAAATGGAAATGTTTCGAGTCATTGTTTCAACAGGCGTTTGGGGGTAAAAGCGACATTGAGTCAGGGTTTTCTTTCTGGCAAAAAGGCTATTTTTGGTAACTTTCGTAACTTGTTTGTCTGTGGTTTACCAGCACAGCTCAAGAAGCCATGGGATGATAGCTAGACATTTGGTGATTCTTATGTCTTGGCCAAATTTTAAACAAAAATTATTTTGGGGCCCCCTATCGGCTTCCCTTGGCACTGCAGCAAAACTTGTTTCGAAGGCGATATTTGATTGGTAGATAGCTCTCTGGGAGTGACAGTTTGGCCTTCTTTGGAACTGCAGACTTTGATAAGTCAAGAAGGGATGATTGAATTTTCATCATTTTTAACCTGTTTTAAAAAAGGTTTTCAGTCTGAACTTTATATACCCAGTTTGCAGATGGTAACATCCGTATTCAGATACGTAGCTTTGAAATTCTGAATTATTGCAACGGCAATCAAATACTTGTGATGACGTCCCAATGACAAGTTTTACACCGAGCGTTCAGTGACTCTGTTTTTGCAGATATCTGGCGGCGCAGGTCCTTCTGGAGTGTTTGCAAACGTCTCCAGCAGCCGGTATACTGAAGTAACGATCACAGGTCTCCGCCAGCTGGAACACGCCAATGTCACAGTGGATGGGCGCGCCGTGACCTTATCCACAACATCAGCACACGGCATCCAGGGACTGAACTTCGCAACTGACATGTTAGGGAGCCTAGTTATTGGAGGGGTCAATCCACATGTAACGGTACGTCAGGGCTTGTCACACTTCTACGTATTCTCATTGACACAGTGCTGCCTATACTCAGGGTAGTTTTGGGCATGCGTACGGCGAATCATCATCATCATCGGTCGGCAGGCGACTGCAAGGTCCCTCCACTGCCCCTTGTCGCAAGCAAGGTTGGCGATCTGCTTCTCTGTTAGCTGATTGTCGACGTCTTGCGATAACTTATCAGTGGAGTGCATCCAGAATATGCCGTGTATGCAGCACTATTCGCAACAAACAAACGGAAATAATACGTACCTACAAAATTAGTCTGTTAAATTCGTTATTTATACGCTAGATGTGGCTGCGTAGCAAAGAAATAAGGATACGCAGAAGTGTGACAGGGCCCTTAGAGAGCTAAGGAGAGAGAGAGAGATAGAGAGAGGGAGAGAGAGAGAGAGAGAGGAGGAGAGAGAGATAGAGAGAGAGTAGTTTGTATGTATGTATGTATGTATGTATGCATGTATGTATGTATGTATGTGTGTGTGTGTATGTTTGTGAGAGAATATTATAATTAGAACAGGTCAAATGTAAGAC